TTATTGCGCTTCATTTGCAACAACTTGGTCTTGTTCTATAACTTCAAACAGGCTGCTAAAGCAAAGGAGAATGCTGCTCCAAGTCCAAGCCCTAATATTAGCATAAAAGCCATCATTGTTCCTGCTGTTTCAGCATGTTTTGGTTCGACAAGTCTGAAAAGGAAAAAAAGAGTGTTTTTTTTTGTTGTTGATACATGTAGATTTATTAAAAAACTACATTGCAGATATACCCTGAATTGCGTAGTTATTTACAATATAATAATATTATATAGGTAAAAAATTAAATTTGATATACTAAAAATTATAAAACTAATACTAATAATATACTTATAAAATTCCAATAAGTTAGATTGCTTGTGAAACCTGTGAGTGTTGTCATATCATGCTGCAAGTTGTAGACTTAAGTAGATAGGTAAAAAAAAATTCAGGTTCTCATAATTATGATGGTTTTACAGCAACTTGACTTTGGTAATTAATAAATTAATTGACTTTGGTAATTAATAAATTGATTAAATGGATGATTTGACACAAATATAAAACAGATTTTAAGTGGATTTTATTACTCGTGTAAAATATGCAGAGCATCATACCGAAAATATACTTTTTTTGTTATAATATAGTATTACTTACTGTGGTCCATACATCATACATAAACTACCAAGATAACCATTGCTGATAGCAAATAAAGCCATAAATGTGATGTAATAAGCATCATTGTCAAAAAACACTGGTACAGTTCTTGGCTGAGCATTGCAGAAGAAAAATAATGGTAGAAAAACCACCCGAAGAAGACAAAAAAGGGGCAACAATTTACTACCAGAACGAGGCTGAAAACAAAATGAATTCATTAGAGTATGTCTTCAGATAACAGACAGAACAAAAAATGTWGGATAATTAAATACATTGTAATAGTTAATAATTCATCAATAATAATTCTTATCTTATCGCGATAAAGAACAAAATAATTGATGGTTTTTTCATGGCATGTCCTCTTAATTACCAAGGTTGATGCCACTTTATGTCAAAATTGTTGTTTATTCTGATCTCAACTTCGTCTTGTGGATGAACAACAATTTTGATGATTTAATAATTATGYCAACCATGGAGGACATACCATGGAAAAAATTGAAAATTTATTTAATTTAAATTTTTAATTGGTCTGTTGAACTTAGAAAAAAAAAATAGATTTGACATTAATATCAAATTACATCATTTTAACATTCTTTCATAATTTCCTTTTCTCTCTAAAGACAAAATTTTCAATCAAAAAGGATATATTCATTTAAAAAAAACTTGAATGTAAAAAGTGTTACTTTTGTACTTACAAACTGTACTAATGAGGCTGTTAATCTGCCAATAAAATCTCCGACGTTAAAAAGGAGAAAACATGTAACTGGTATGAAATATGTGGCTGAAAATAAAAATGACAAGGAATGAGTGATTGGAAATGCAATGTGGTTTACAATCTATTCCAAATGTCAAGAATAATACGTTTCTTGTCTTGTGTGGCATTGTAAACAAAAATAGAAGTACTCAACATTTTTTTTGTGGCATTATAATACCATGTGAGGTTCTGTGACCAGAGGCCATGTGTTGTTTGCAGAACAGGTGTGATTTGTTATTGCACTGTCACATAATAGGCTATCTTTTGGTGCTTCTTTGAAATCTGGGTAGGGGAAAGTAAGCCTTCTAGAATTTGTTGGGTGTGTTATTTTGAGCTTTTTGGACCTGCATCCCAGAAAAATACCACAACAAAAACCTGCTTACTGTTATTACACATATCTCCCTCCGTTAGCAAATAATAATAACTTACATGTCCACTCGGACCCATCACCATGACTRCGTGATTGAACACGCGATGTTAAAGCAGGAAAAGCCGCTAGAGTTACAAAGAACACAAATGACACTGATAAACCAACAGGTGCAATCTGCAAAACCAATGGATATGTTCAGTAATGCTATACAAATTGTGGCCATAAAACAATATTGGATGGTTTTTGTGATTCTGTAAAAATCAAGGTCAAGGCAAGTTTAATCAGCTGAGGCTGAAGGCTATTGTAAGACATGTATAACAACAAACTAAACTGATTAAAAATTAAGACTAGACTTACCTTTTTAAATATACTTAAGAAAGGTGGTGTTTCTGTTACTTTGTAGGTAACTTCTCTCGATTCTAGTTCAGCCCCAAGGTATGTTTTAGCACTTGCATCCAAACCTATTGACAAGTAGCACCATAGCACCAGACAAATCTCATATAACTTGTATATATTGTTACCCAAATGGTTACATCAAACGTTCATTAATAACAGAATTGTGTGCTTACTTAGTGAGGAGTGGAATCTTCCCYTTGGTTCAATATCCCAGTTTGCTATTCTTTTTGTTTGTCCTTGAATGTTACTGACATCTGAGAAAGAAATCAAAAGCATCTTAAACAAAGTAGACTCACTATAAAAAACCTGATGTCAGTTCTAAATATTATCAAAATTACAAGTTTTAATAGAATTTGAGATATCAACTTTCAACAATAATTGTTAATATTACCTAACTCTTGCCTTTGCTTCTCACCCAAATAATGTCTTGCAAATGTCTGAAAATGGAATTCTTTTTGGTTAAAAATATGTTCATATTACTACCGTCCACTCCTCTTTGCTTMAAAATGATAACATTTCATACTGAGGTATACATTTTATAATAAATTCTTTCTCAATGTTGTAATATCATTTCAAAATGTTCTTTATTGCATGACTTTTTTTCTTATTTTCTAAAAATGTAGTTTTTGTACTATAAAAAATTCAATAAAAAAATTGCTTAGACAAGTCTTCCCCAGGCTACTTTCTTTTCTYTTGCAATGACATCATGCACCAAAAGTCATGCATCCTAAGTACTGCATCACAGCTTGAAACAAGTCTGTCATTTTGATATCAGAGAATAGTTGGATGAGTGTAGCCTGGGAATGATGTTGCATATATAAATAATATTTATTAGTAAATTATATTTATTATCATTATAGTAGCTATACATACTATTGTTGGTAGTAAGATGTAACAAATCATACAAGTGAATAAAAGGACAACAGCAGACATAAAATATCCAAAGCCACTAGTTATTGCATCTTTGGCAGCTGCAACAACAACAACAAAAAAAGACAATCAACCTTATTATATTTATAAATAGTACAGTTATTTTCACTTATGAAAATAACACATTTGACAAAAAAAGACAATCAATCTATTATATTGAAATACAGTTATCTTCACTTATGAAAATAACACATTTGAGTTTTCTCTATACGTTGGAAGTAAAAAAGTGATTTTATGACATAATTTGCTTTCATATAGGATAAACACAATATTATATGGTTTCTTGGTGATACAAATTTTATCTTTTTGTGTGCACCCATGTAATATCCTCTTTTATTCTATAACATCATTATGTTCCCACTTGAATTATGACAAAGAAATACACACACTACCAATAATAAACTCTGCAGCTTACCTAAGATAGCAACTATATTTGCCAGGGCTGCAAAGGTRCCACCAATTCCTTGTCCAGTCATTACAGCACCAGTATACTTAAAAGGCATCATTCCAGTCAGCCCAAATAGGCCACCTTGAAACACTGCTGTTGCCACTGAAAAAAAGGTTTACTTTAAAGTGTGTAATATTGAAGTTTAGCAGATAAGGAGCTATAATCCTCAATATCAAGGAGAGAATGTCTTATGAAGGATTCAATTTGAAAAGATGCACTCTTAATGTTATTAAATCTACATTCTTTTGTTACTGTATGCTAACTCTAAATTGACAGCTACAAGTATAACAAAATATAAAGAAATTACAGTACAACATAAAAAAAATCAACAATTAAGTGGTAGCACTTACTATTTACAGCAATTACAGTACCAATGGTTATGTAGAAGAATTGCTTGGTCCCTATATTTGGGAGGAAATAATTAACGTCAAAAATTACAGTAATATTACCCAATAAGGTAACAGGAATGTACAATAAAGAAAACCATTATCTTAGTATTATGTTGGAATTTAGTTGGGAAATGGCACTCAGAAAAAATCTTTGTTTTTTATAATATTTTGGAATTACTGGGCTGCCTTGCATCTTTCTATGATATTTTGGAATTACTGGGCTGACTTGCAAGGCACTCACAAGAAAATGTGTTCACTTTGACAAGAGCAGTTGTAATCACAAATAAAGTAGTCATCAGGATAAGCGACACCAACATGCGTACATTGAGAGGAACTCTGAAAAAAACAAGAATTATTATATAAATGTTATATGTAGTGTGTTTGACAAAAAACAACAAAAAAGGTTCCTAAAAAAATGTCTAGAATTTTACACATGTTTTGTATGTTTTTGTTGTTCAAATTACCGGTATACAGAAATGTTGCAATTGGAACTAAAGGGCACTATCAAGGAAGGGTCACTGTAACACAGGATTTGTGCTACATTTTCACTACAAAATTCCAGGACTTTTCAAGTACTTTTTAAGCAAAAAAATGTAATTGTAAAGGAGTATTTTTCATATTTTTTATGTTTGCAGATTTTTCAAGTGACAATTTTCAAAAATAGCCATATTTCAATCCAAAAGCTAACAAGCAACATGTCAATTTTATCAGATTCAAGGAGTTTTCCAAGAGTTTCAGGATGTTCCCCATTTACAAGGCTCCCAAGCGCCCTTGAAAACAAGTTTTCAATTCCAGGACATTTTCAAGGACTTCAAGGAGGTGTAGCACGAAACCTGGTAACAGGTGAAGTTTGTCTTAATATATTTTCCATGAAAATGTTCAAATTGCTACAAACATTCCATACATATCTGAGATGTTCAAGATTTCACTCAAATAACTAATTGTTTTCTTCCCCTGATGTATTTTTTTTTTGTCATTTGACCATAACTACCTCTCATTAGAAACCTCAACAAAGCAAAGAATACTCACTTGTGCTTAAATAAGGTATTTAGAAAGAACATCAAGACATTTGGRACCATTGCTGCTATAGAGAAGTAATTCTCAAATTCATGCACTAGTGTTTTCTCTGTTTTTAGTTTTGTCGTAAAATACTGAAAGCAAAAMATAGCATTCAACAAATTACTAAATTGAATAAACAGTAATTATTCTGTATTATGCAGATCAAAGTGGAATTCTTGTTTAGCTATGAACCAATGCTGAATATAACTTCATAGCTCACTCAACTCGCTTTGATGAAGATCAAAGTTTTGATTTATAGGACGTTTCCCACTATATCGACCAATATTACCCAATGAATAGCTAACTTACAGTATTTATTATTTGCTATGGTTTTGCTCTTTTTTGCTAACACTCCATTCAGAATATTGTGCAAGGGAGAGACCATGATAAATGGTAAGCAGCAGACAATCATGACATGCAATTCTTAAGTTATTGGACTGAAACAACTGGTACTTACTGAATGTGCTGTGATGAACATATTCCAGGGTAGTAAAGTTCCTACTCCCATTAATACCATTATCCAATAGACAATCTTAAACCTACAATACAATGACAGCAATGAAATATCATAAAGARGTTTAGTGTGGTCATTAGAGTAGCACCAYTCAGAAATTAGTGAACAGAGCTCARATTTACCATTTTATCATAAGTACTGACCACTAAAAGGAGAATATTAAGTATTTATGATTTTTTGCAATCAGAACAGAACAAGGCAGGACAACAAAATAATGTTAGATATTATTTGCATGTTGGGGACAGGATATTATGATAGAAACTAGTGGTAAACAAATTGTGCTGCATCACAGTGTTTCTAAAGGATGTGAAATAAAATATATCTTAACACTGTAAAAAGTAGGTAAAATAACTTAATATAACTTTTTACGGTGTTACATGTACATTTATCTTATTTCACATAAAAATATTATTTTCTAGAAAAACAAACTTTGTTTTTAATTAGGTTATGATTCTTCAGTGTGGTCGCCACTTTAATTACATACATTTACCCGTGGCAATCAACAAGACCCACAAATCAAAACATGACAGGATGTTGATCGTTTTTTCATGTTACAAGAACTCTACCTTACAAATATAAAAAAAATATAATCCTTAAAAAAAAATTGTGATATTGATCTGTCAAAGTTAAGTCCACTTTTACTGGAAGAAATGCATTGTTTTCATTGGGATATGTAGGAGGGTATTAAATAACTTAGCACTGATTTCATAAGTAAAAAAAAAAATATAAGATTAATGTCTTTTCTAATGGCATTAACTATTTTTTTTTAAATCAGTACAGCTATATTAATTATGTCTAGATCAAAGCAAATACATATATATACTTCATAGYAACTATACAGAACCTATAGCTGATTACACAACACAATTTCACAAGTCTGCAGAGGTTCGGCTTCCTGGCCCCCAGGCGAGATWAAACACTTGAATCTRGATGTTTTTTGAAATTTCCATTATTTTTTAGAAATATTTTGGTATCAAAGTATACATTTCAAATCAACTTTCGTTTMCAGAGTTCGAGTATTTTTACAATGGTCGAATCTTATGATATTGAGGACGGTTRAGATTATCAGCTGTTTAAACAAAAGACAAGAACAATGAATACAAAAAATATTTTGAAAAATGTTTGATAACGCCGAAAATTATTAGGTCACGAAAAAAGTTTCCCTGCTCTAGAGATGTAATTCAAACACTATGCACTACTTGACATGTATAAGAGGGCGCTAGATCCTTCAGTGCAAAATCTATCAAAACAATTGTAACAACTATGGAAAATTCAAGTAACCATGGAAGATTCAAGTAATACGAAGGAACTCTTGAAATATCTTGAAAATAACATGAAGTTGTTAGGTTATTGCGAAAAATATACTGCTTTGTATTGGACAGAGAATTTGTTTATCATTTTTGTCGGTGTTTCAAAAGAAAACACCATCGTTGAAGCGATTTTCGAAAAAATCGGCATAATTGGTCAGAATGCTCTAAAGGCCAAAGATTGTATTAGACTCGAGTTAATATTTCTAAATGAAATATAGTCATTTCTAACAATTAAYAAGGAAAACTTTTGACGTTTGCAACGGTAAGTAAATCGCGATAAAGAAACGATAAACCACCATAACAAAAGGTAGAAAGCTCAGCATTATACGCTGTTTAAGGTCTGCTTTTGTAATATCACTGYCTTCTSTTTCCAGTAATTTTAGTTGCCTGCTACTAAACTATCTACGTACCTGTCTTTAGGAACCGTTGAAACGATGAGAGACGATTTACCGTCCTTCTTTTCATTCAGCATAGGTTTGGTTTCAACGAACAAGTCCTTTCCTGTACCCATGATGATAAAATATGTTATTCACAGCAAAAAAGKGAGCTTCACTACTCTCGGTAAATGCTCTAACGCAACGCTTGGACCCCCACGTGAAAAGAACGACAGGAGCAAGARCAGACGTAGAAACCTCGCTTGTCAGCGCAATCCGATCTAGTTTTCCCTYAGTTGTGTTTTAACAGCACTAGAGTCATGTGCCGTTCCTGATAATTGATATCACAGATAAACAATGACAGGTAAGAACTTTCCATAAATTACCGTGATAAACTTTGGCCCGGAAACACGTGATGGTCACGCGCCGGCAACAATGCGTGACGCACGCMCACACTCGGTCACGGACAATGTAAAAAAGTTTCGTTAAAAAAAAAACATTTCCCAGAAAAAAAAATAATTCAATCTAAAGTCAACAAGCAAAATCCAAATTTAACATTACGATGGATGGAATAACTCTAAAATTCACCTTTTTAACTAATACATATGTAAAGTTTGCGCGACCTTGGCCGAGATTTTCGTGAGCCCCTCGGGTAGAACTGGAAGGTCAGACGTTTTCAAAACGGATAGGTATATTAAATTTATTGAAACTTCGCCAAAAGCAGCATATTTCAGTACATATGTGAGGTTTGGCCTGGGTAGATAGCTCTTTTGTCACACTTTCCGAGTGCTTGACTTGACCGTAATTTTTTTTGCGTTACAAAGGGGGACAGTCCCCTCTACTAACTATGGTTACATACATGCACAATTCCGCCCATTTGTCGCACTAATAAGTCTCTTACAGGTGATAGCTTGATTCATTACAAAAAGAAAATAGGAATGAAGTGAAAATGTGAAAAAAAAAAACGAGGAAAAAAATATGAATATTAAAAAAGAAAAATGGAAAAATATAAAAAAACGAAAAGGATAGTGGAATTGAAATCAAATATCTTGCAAAAAGGTTGTTTGAAGGTAAGTAAAGTGAATAATTGAGATATAGTATACAGTGTAGCATATATAATATAGCATTTTTGAATTCAAAGCAAATAACTGCTGTTTTCTGTGACAATGAAWTCTCTTGCACAAAACTCTTACTGAAAACGAAAGAAAGCTTGAGAAAATTTTGCAATAGTTGTATTTTTCCAAGTGGAAGCTATAATCCTGTATTCCCAGAAGGCTTCAACCTTGGGCCTTTTGGCAATACAGATTTGGTTTCAATTTTGGCATAGTTAATAGAGAGGACTCCAGTCCACTCTATTAACTATGATTTTGGTAAAAAATAAGCAAATTTTCAAGGCAATTGTAATAAAGACATTTTTTTGTGCTTTCATTATTCTTTCGTAAGATCTTTGTGAAAGAGAAACTTTTGTCAAATAATACAGCAGTTGATTTGTTTGAATTCAAAAATGGAGTATTCACACATTAGCGTATCACTTCTATTCTCAAATTGATAAAAGTGCAGATGATAAACTACCTTGTAACTTTTGGTTTAACTGAAGACATATCGAACACTATTTGGCTGATTATAAACTGATACAAATGGCCTGTCCAATATAGAATTCCTGAAGTTGGCGCATGTGAACATAAATTTTTATCTTTGAGCATAGAAGTTTGCTCTGTTCACTTGTGAGATATGTTAATTGAACATAAGAAAATAAATGTGTATATTGTTTTTTGCTGTTGTCACTAGTCCCTAGTGGTTAAGATGACCCAAAGGAAGCCCGAGGGAGGAAAAAATAGATGCCTGGTGAGGAGGCTATGTCCAAGTTACCAAATAAAGTTTTACTTATTATATAGATGTCAGCATAAAGTTTTACTTATTATATAGATGTCAATATATGTCAATAACGTTTTACTTATTATATAGATGTTAGCATATCCAGGAGGGGCCACATGGTGCCCGTGACCCCCCTTTCAAAGCCAAAAAAGTACAAAAACCATAGATTGATATGACATCATATTGATGGTATATGACATCATAGTGACAATATTTTGGTATGCAAGGCACCCCCCAATGAAAATCCTGGATATGCCCCTAGATGTTGTGCAAAAATATTCTTTATTGAAATAGTGAGCTGACTTACTGTTGCTATGCCAACAGCTATATCATGTCACACATGAAAAATATCATATCCCCATTAGATTGAAATAAAATTTGGTCACCCCCCCCCTTCCCCCCAAAAAAAATGACATCATATTTTGTATATCTTTCCCTGGAGAACACAAAACAAAGAACAAACAGTAAAAGTGAAACAAGTGCCACTTCACATTGTTAATGATGCTAAATTCTATTGTTTTCTGTTTAGTTATCACTATGTAGTAGTACTAACTTTGACCTTAAACTTCTTACCAGTCCTCCTGATTATATAACCTCATAAAATAAACATGAAAAATATATTTGCATACAAATGTGTTTTACAACTATAGTATAATACAGTGTGAAATTAAAATGCCCTACAATGAAAATAACACCAAATTTTCATTAAGCTTAAAACAACCGAAAAAAAAMCTTTTTTTCTGAGATTGGAAATTCTAGAAAACTTTACACGCGTAGCTTCTCAAGCTGCATTTCGAGCAACAAATTTAACTTTACTTATACAAGAAAGATATTTTCATTAATGTTTCAGCTTCTTTCACTTCTATGCTATAAACATAAATTTATTTATTATCCCTTCTGGACTTACCGGTCGTTTGGGTCAACTGTTGGTCGCTGCACTGGTAAAGTATCGTCGTCTGTGCCATCGAGAAGTCTATCGTGTTCTTCAGATAGTTTTCTTTCTTTACTTTTTCCCATGCYACGTAGCTCTAAGTTGTTCTAYGCATGAGACARAAAAATAATAATTTAAGGAATTTTTCATGAGCCGGCAAAAAATGAGGTTGTATTTCAGTCACAAGACAGCTAAACAGAGAATACACGAAGTTGAATTGAAAACTTTCCTATTGATAAATCACAAATTGTGTATACAACCATTGCATCAGCCGAATAATTTTTTGAAATTATTAAAGTTTGTCCTTAGTTTAGTTGAGCAAAAAGATAGTTTCAGCGTGCGAACTAACCTAACTTCACTCACGCTGGCGAGAGAGCAGGCAAGTGATGGCACATAACAAAAATTTTACCCAGTCTTCTTCACGGCGTTGCAKGGACTTTTAAAGYACACCCTCCCCCTAGGGAATSGACCTTTTTCTTCGCCACTGAAAAAGACATGTTGGTAAGCTTTTATGACCTTTTATCGTGCGCGTCTCTTGGTCTCTAGAACCATAGTTTACTTGCATGTTCCCTTTTTTTAAATTTTAATTAAATGAGTCTTTCATATACAAATACATTAGGACCAAGTAGCTGGGGCGTTTTTTTTTTCAGCCTGAACTGGGGCTTTATGTATGGATTGCCTAGTAGGGTTTCCTCCTTGAAGACTGTGAAGAAGGCAATCAACTGAAAAATTGCATGAATATTATGTTACCCTCAATAATTTCGGCAAATATAGTCTTATATTTCTAGACTTTCTCTTCAAAGAAAGGGAGTTTCTGGAAGACCTGAAATGACGAGATTCCATGCAGACTATCCCTTATTAGCATTATGAGAATCATGGAGGACAAAAAGTCACATGTCCATTTTTAGCACTTTTTATTCACTAAATAGAGCAATAATTATTTACAAAGAATTGAAGCTTAAAGAATGCTATACAGCTGGCTTCTAGCCCTGCTATATTCACTTTGACAAAACGTACAGTATAATGTACAGAATGACTTACTTCTAGCTTCAATATTTTTGTTTCTTTTCAAATAGGAATACATGACTGGTCTACTGACTGATATCATTATCCTGAAAGTAGCGAGCAGACAAGTATTGTCATCACCACATGTAGAACAGGTCAGATTTCATATGTGACCGCACAAAGGAATGTGGATAATGGAATGGACATAATATGGTCTTGGAGTCTTGTCTCATAGYGATGCCAAATGAATATATAGTGATTCATGAACACATCGCTACACAGACACAAAATGAAATTGCTGTTTTTTTTTGCAAAGTCATATGAAATCCTTTCTTTGAAAAGAAATTTACACGTAATTTATACATGTAGCTTTGATGCACTTTCATCACTCAATGTCAAGAAAAGAATGCCCTTTCCCTCATTCCCACCTCTCCCCCTCCCACAAAAACAAAAATGATATAAATGATAAAACTTATAATATTTTATAACATTAAGTAATAGAACACTGGAATGTCTTCAAAACATCTGATTAATCTGAAATTTTCTAGTTTTTCATGCCAGAAATAGAAAAATATGATCAAAAAATATCAACAATGTGATATATATGACCTTTTGAATAATGCAWTATGATGGAGAAATTTTTTTCAAAAATATTGATTGCTTTAAAGTCATTCCAGARTACTTAATGTATCAATTAGACTTTATGTGGAATCCTGAGGCAACAAAGACGATCATAATCACACAACAAAAGCTAAAGAAATATCATTATTATGCTAAAAAATGATAATAAAAACAACAATTTGAAATTTGTACTCTATTACTATGATCTGAACTTGTAATGATGCAGAAGAAGGGGATACCTTACTGWAGGCTGCCATGCCAAAGGACAAAGTTTTCACAAGAGAATCGAAAAAGACAACACCAAAACTTTGAAATAGTTTCCTAAGAAGAATATATATACTTTGCTAAAGAAGGCAGCGCCAAATGTATGATATATTAAGATATGCACTGTTTATACATGTACATCAGTCRACAGGGTCCACAATAAGGGGAGCAATATATTCTGAATGCCTTTGTCCAAACGTATAACCTGGTGCTGCTCTTTTTGTAATATAAACCTACGAAAAATAGAAAAAGAATGAATTAACATCATTTTTTAAATTTTCACTGTCTTAATGTACTATTGGGGGTTGCCAGAGGATTAGCATAGTTAAACAACCTCCCTCACATACAAACATAGTACTCTCTTATTGGTAAYTATGTTAGCTTGTGCTGCATTAATCTTCTCGTGGGCCATCAGATCCTTCTCCAAAGGAGTCTCTTCTTTTCCGCTCTTCTTTTCTGCTGTCCATCTTCCAAAATGCAAAAATGAAGCATTGCCTGCAGAATTGGCTATGGCCATGATATCCTCACGCTCTCTATCAATAAATTGATCATCATTTTGAATAAAAAAGATTAAGACTTACTCTTTCTGGATAATGAGCTCCAGGACCTGGTTTCTGTGTGTTATCACCAGGTATAAAGTTGCGACCATTCATTGAAAAAATTGGTTTTCTGTTTTTGAAGATATTGGGGTCTGTTACTTTGTATGTCCCTGGACCTGGAGTCTGTATAAAAAAGAGGATATTGAATATACTTTCTTATGGAAATGAAAAAATAAATAAATAAAACAAAGAAAYTATTACCCTCTGCAAATCTTCATGAAATCCTCCAATTTTTGATCTTCCTGTCATGGAATAAGCTGGAAGAGATYTTTTACCAACAGATTTTGGTCCCAGGATATTTGGGAGAGAATAGGCATTAGCTGCAGGAGTTGGGTCCCGTCTTGAGTATGGTGTTCGCAATCCAAAAGAGTATGATGGAGCTGTTCTTTGACGGGGTACTTGCTGTTTCTCTGGTGCATATGCGCCTTTTGTATTGGTAAAAAAGTAACATTAGTCAAATGGTACAAATACTGATAGATGAGATGTAGTTTATAAAATATTCTAGAATCTGTGCAATAAAGATGTAAATGTTCAAATCAAATTACTAACATTAAAGTCAAAACAAAATGTTAGAGTGCACGTCACATAAGCATGAAACAATTCTTAACTAATTAGCGCCTAATAAGATTTAGTTATCAACTAACTAAGAATTCACTGGGGCATGAACACAATGCCAGAAAGGAAACTTGTCTTTGTTTATGCCTCACTAAATTCTTAGTTAGTTGATAACTAAATCTTATTAGGCGCTAATTAGTTAAGAATTGTTTCATGCTTATGTGATGTGCACTCTATAATACATAAAATGTTTAAAAACAAAGATCAAAATCACGTTGAAATCTTTTAATCTGCACGCTTCTATACATAGCAATATAATTAGCACTATTTATATAAGTTGTTTGCTTGAGTGTCTAGATTATCTGCTCTATTTTAATTTCGGAGTCGCAAAGCCGAAGTGCTTTCCATAACTATCTACACTTTTTGCATTGTTCTTCGTTTTGTAAGTTTGTTTGGTTTCCTTTCAGTCAAAGACCTACGATTATTGTAAAATGGCAACTGTGCGCGTTGGTATTGTAAAATTGTTTTCCATCTATTAAAATGCGATAAAATATTAGTTAAAATAGTTAATTTCGTGTATCTAAATTTCGTGTATCTAAATTTGAAGCTCATTAAAAGTTTCGATTTCTTTATTTGCAACTGTATCAAGAATGGTTTTCTTAACTTCATATTGAGAAGCTGAGTAAAAAAATGTAAACAAAAGAGAGCCGCACGATAGCCAACTCCAAGTTATAAATATCATATAAAAACTGCTATTTCAATAAACGACATTATTTAGATTACTTCTCCGGTTAAATATTCCATTGAATCTAAAAAATATGAAGTAAATCTGCTCGAACGGATACGAAAGGGTTTTAAAAGTGAGGTAACTAAGGAAACGGCGCGCGAATTTTGTTACACAAATCCACRCCATGTCATTGTGGAATTGTTCGTGGACAACTAGTTGAAATTCTTTGCTGCTATTATCTTCCTATTATGATACAGTAAAAATTACCTGGAGCCGGAGTTTGAAAAGAATTCAGTAAGGAAGTTCTATCGTGCAGAGTATAAGCTGGGGTGCCATCTTTGCCAGTGCGGGTCATGTTCGACGGGACAAGATAAGCTGGTCCAGGACCTGTACTTTTGATATTTGAAAATGATTTCAAGCCAAAACTGTACGCTGGTTTCTTGTTCTTACTAGGATCATGTACAGTATAYCCACAAGTGCCAGGCAGAAGATATTTTGCAGGTCCCGGCCCGCGGAACATAGCTGCAATCTGGGGTCGATTTCGCTGTTGAGCTGACATGTTGATCGTCTTGAACACTGTCTGTGCTAAATTCTCCTCAAAACCACCAGATTCCTAAACTATGATTGATTKCCCTCAGGTCAGAGCCACGATAAGTTGATTTTTTAAACGATGTGTTTCCAAATTATCAAACARCGCGCAAGGAAAAGTCTTCTTTCAGACYCTAAACAAAAGCGTGGACACGATCACCAAGGCAGCGTGCATGAATAATCAGAGTAATTTGATCACGCTGAATTTAATGTCAATTAATGCTAAATGATTATCACTGCATACATTACTGGTAAATAACTATCCAATCAGAATGCTCCATGCGGTACGACAAAGGRATTTTACACAAACAATGATATCAATGAGTTGACAGCTATCAATCACGCATCGCAAAATTTAATATTTCAGCAAAGATGAATGGTTGACTAAGTATATTTTTTGACAATGTCCTACATCAGGTGTATTTTAAACTAAAAGCCTATGTGAATATTCACATTGTGAATGAATTTAATTAACAAAGTACGATAGATTACAACGTGTAATACTCCAAGAGAAATATAAAGAAACATTTGAGATTCTTATCTATCCCAAATTTCTCTATATATAGAAATAAAGTCAACTCATTTTCAAAAATGCCCTTGAGTTTCAWGATATAATTAAAACCTAATGACATCAACGTCTATTTGACGTTCCCTTTTCAAGGATATTAAGAAATTTTCCTCTYGTCATTTCTCTAGCTGCAAAATAAAAAAAAAAAAATATATGATATCAATAACTCTATAAAGCAAAGCTGTTCTGGATTACTTTGGCCCTAACAGAGGCTTAGTATTATAGTKCTGTCAACTGTCAAAGGAAGTAATTAAAATTTTCATCTAGGTGGCTTACAGCTGAAAAAGTTTTTTTTCAAAATAATAATTGTCATTTCTCACTGCTACGACTTGTATTTGGCTAATGCAAGCTGTGATTGGCCAAAACATTGCATAATGACTGACCCACTCACACTTATCACAATACAATAAAAACTATAAAACATCTTTCATTATTGTACTCTCATGAAAAGAAGAAACACTTGAAAAGACACTTGATAAAGTTCTTTGATTCATATTTTCTTGTTATTATGATAATCATCATTAATTGTCATTATTGCTTTGCTGATGTTAATGAATCATTTTGATTGTCAGCAATGTTAACTTCTATGAAAAGGGTTTGTGCTCCAGAAGGTTTTTTTTATTGCTTGTGTTCCAGGAGCTTTTTTTKKTTTTKKTTTTTTTTTCAGTGTATTTTCAAGTGCACTTGAAAATGATTCTATTCCATGGCTTGAAGGAGTGAGTGTAATGGACATTTTCATACTTTAAACTGCAATGATTTAGCTTTACACAATGGAACAATCACAAGCCTTCTACCAGCACAACAAAAATGTAGTCTACTTTGCAGCCTCTTCTTGTTTTGGGATTCCTGTACCCTCTTGTCACAGGAGGAAGCATAAAAAAGGATAGGTCGCAAAGGTGATCAAAACAAAATGAGTGTTTACAACCTAAACTTAAAACAAATCCTGAAATAAATAGCCTGTAGAGTGTTGCTGACAGTGTTTGTTGTTGTTGCTGTTTTAGGGAGGGAGGGGAGGGTGGGGATATTGAGGAATGTTATAGTGTATGTGTACCTTCATCAAGACCAAGCTGAAATGCAAGATTCTGTAATCCTCTAACTTTTTCCATTAATTGAGAAGTTGTAAGACTTCCAAACTCTATAAATTATAAATACTGGTTAATAATTTCTACTCAGTAAAGATTACTAAGTACATATTTTATTAATGACTATACTTTTGTGTRAACAAAGAACTGACTTCTGTATAAAATAGCCTGTGTATATCTGTTTCCACCTCTCCCWCTACATGGAAAGTTTGGGGCCATTTTCCCCATAAGGGTGAGGGGGGTTAGGAACGGATGTATACACACAATAGAAGTACCAACCTTGAAGCATATCCATATCATCTTTTTCTAAATCTGTCAACCATTTTGGTGGACTGCTTGTCAGTGAGTAAGGCTGAACAAAATGAATAAAACTGTYATCAAATATAAAGCAATGGCATTGTTTATAAAATATTTATTGTCAAGTCACTAAAAGTGCAATAATCTCCTTTTCTTTTGTATGAATTATCTTATCCTTATTTATGTTTTTTTTTTCTTAGTGAAATACAGCTGTACTTACACTTGCAGCAAGTGATGCAAAGTCTGAAACACCAGGAACTAGAGAAATTGTCAAATAAATCAATAAATGCCRTGGTTCACAGGTCAAATAACATCAAATTCTTACTTTGTTCAGGCCATAGATCAGGCGATGCTCTATCGAGGGTTTCAAAGCTCAACAACCCTTGAAGATTTTGATCAACTTCTAAAATAATAAAACAGTTTTAGCTGTAAGCAAGCTTAATTAATATTTATTTTTGTGGATAAACAGTGATAAATTAAGCTAAAGAGGTAACACTTTAACTGGGGTGAATTCTGTAATAGTTTAGCACTGAAAACTGAGTTTACAAAGGACATGTACGTATTAACTGTAATCTGCTGTTTTTGTACCACCAAAAAAAAATCCAAAGTTTTATACC